CGGCGCATTTTTGTGGCAATATCTGCAAAAAACCAATTATTTTCCTCTTTTAGTCGAATAAGAAGACGATCTTCATCAGCAGTGAACTGACAATTTCTTAGTATCCATAAACGAGTCTTTAAAGAACTGTTAGGGCGGTTGGGAAAGCGATCTCGCATTTCATGCCACGAGATACCCTCGTTGTAAAGTTGAAGTAGAGTATCGTCATCCTCTTGTGTGTACCGAAAGCGTCCCGTGGAAGGTGGGGAAGAATCTTGCGAACCAGCCTCGGGAGTATCCGTTGCGGGTTCGGAAAGACTGGGCGAAGGTCGTGTGCACGCCTCAGTAGTATGGGATGGCGAGCGGGGTATTTGTTCCACCATGGAGCAAAATGACGGCATACTAGCCCTATCCTCATGAAACGGTAAGGCCCCACGGATTTCCACGATGCGTCGTAATCGGGTATCGATGGCGATTTTCTGGTCATCGGTGAGGCATTTTAAAGACCAGATAAGAGCTAACGGTTGTAACCCCACTAGTGGCTTGTCTTTCCAGAGGTTCCTGTTATCTTCTATCCACTTGTTAATGGCGCATCCGCTCGAATCCCGGCCAGGCTGTAATTGAACGTCGAGTTCCGCAAACGAGGACTGCGCTTCTTCGGCCCAGCAGAGTTGCTGTTCGTTGGCCTTGGCGCTGTGAAGAATAATTTCCCCCAGAGCAGAACAGGCGCCACCGTACTCTTCAGAGGTTCGATAATTGGGGACTTTGTAAATCCAGGTCGCGCATCTGATAATGATCGAGTTCAGGAGGATTCGTGCACATGTCAGCATATTCCTGAGCATCAATAGCCAGGGGTCCGTATTGTTAGAGCTAATGTCCCGTGTACTCTTTGACAACTCCTCCCACCTGCTTTCGCAAGCTCGATCATGATCTTGACACCGCTTTAGCGTGTCTTCGACTTCCTCTCTATGTCCGGATGGACCAAGAGCCGTAGCCTCCGCGTTAAGTGAAGCCACTCCAACGCAAAGCTGTTGGGTAGAAGTGCATTCATCGTCTTCGGACCACCAGAGCTCTTTGTCCTTTTCGTCTTCTAGTGTTGCGAGACTATATATTGCCTGTTGAAAGTTAGCTATTAGAAAGTCTACATCACGATGTAAACTTGAAGATCAACCCGATAAAATCGTAGAGTTGAGAAGTTTATGGAAATCTTACCATTAAAGTACGGGTTGCCCTGAATAACATGTGTCCAATTTGGGTGTTAGTCTGTTTGCGACTGCGTTCTTTAGCTAACTTAATAGCACCCTGTACGTGATTGCGCCAGCCTTTTTGCTCCCCAGTCGTAGGATATAAGCATTCGAACAGGGCTAGAAGTAAAATTGCAGCCAAGGTTGCATCCTCATGAACGACATCTGGATCTTGAAGTGCGCTACGCATCGCTATCAGTGCTTTGTCGTATGCCTCAAAGGTTAAGCTTTCGTATTCAAGCTGGGCGCCCGCCCCATTGATGAACGACGCCATGGCGCAAGCTTCAAATGCCAGTCGGTAATGCTCCCATTCCTTGTCGCTCTTCGATAGGATAACAAAACACATATCGCCGATTTTGTTCTGGCTAGGCGATTCAAGATCATAATGATACAAAAAGTAAGCGATTGCCCTTTCCTGCAGAGGCATCTGGGGAAGGTCCGAGGAGCGCAGCTGCAAGGATCCTGCCTTCGGTGTCGAATATGAGGCAATTTTCTCATCCCGTGATATAGCATTAAGGGGTTTATTGTTTGCGAATTTTCTGCCGAAAGATTCCGAATATCTGTCTCGAGTAACAATGCCTTCCTCGGGTGCGGTACATTCTCTCCCAGACTTGATGCACTGCTGACAGGGCCTCGAATTATCACACTACATAGACTTCTTGTTAGACCTTCGGCTATTGCGAGTTTAGTTGATCTCCAAGCAGTGCATATACCTTGACTCGGAGCTTTCTGCAACCCTTACAGGCCTTCAAAACCCTGCGAGATGACGCAAGCGCCTTCTCTGGTGATGAAATGACGTCCTGTGTTGTGGTTGGCCTGGGCGAGGTCAATATTGTGGTTATGCCTTTCTTTCTTGCGCACTCCACGCCAGTCTTGTGGCAAAAAGCAATATCGGTTTTGGGTCTGGTACAGACCCTGCGAGCCTTCGCCCGGTCGCACTACATATACTCCACGTTAGACTTTCAGCTGTTGTAACGTTTAGTCAATCTCCCGATTGTGAATAATGGATATACTTTGATTCTGCGCTTTCTGCCAGTGTAGACCATAGGAGTAACGAATGCGGACCCTGCAGGTCTTGCTCAAATGCTGATTTGGAGGTGTTTTAATGTAATATGACCAGGGTATGGGATTCCCGATGGACACTGTTGTGAGCTCTTCCTGAATAAAATCTGAAGATCTGAGTTGCGACCGCCACGGAAGGAAGGACTGTCATACTTATACATCCTACGGAACAATGGATCAGCCTCCACGTGAACAATGTACGCAGCCCAATGTGTGTCGAAAAACAACACGAACCCCTGAGTCTAGGGAAATGAGGCTGCCAAAACTGTATTCCCCGGTTCAGGGGCACTTCCGTGGTGCAACAACAAGAGATCTTGCCGAGGGTTGCACCTACGGAGAGAGTGGCATGGTGGTGTAGAACATTCAGAGGTACTTTCCAGCGCCGAAGTTTGCGGGCTTATTAGTGTATTCCAGGTTCTTAGAGAAGCGTTCAGAGTGGTCAGTGAGGCTTTCAAAGGTTCATACAATGCACCAGAAAGAGATATCCAAGTACAATTGGAATGAGTGGTCTATGATTTATGTCAACGAACGCCGGTTTCTATTCTGTCAGTACAGAGCGGTTCGAGCTTCCATGAGGCAATCGCAAACGAACAGTAGTTATATCAATATGCCTGTCATGCAGAAGCATCACCCTGTCAGACAATTGAGGGTCACAAAAGATCGAGTATAATGGCGCCGAAGACGCCAATTGTTTAAATGAGAATTATCTAAGGAGCAAGAATTCCATCAGGCGTTTCATGGGAACCGTGCAGCTCTTTATACACAAAAGAAATCTTTGATAGTTCAGGCAGTAGCAATTACCTTCCAGGCAGCTACTGCAATGTCCCAGTTTTTCAGGAGGTACGATTTGGGTAGGCCTGATGTGCGACACCCTCTTTTATACATCTTTTGATACCAGCTCGATCTCAGAATCACTTGATGTATTTTTTTGTTTTTGACCTACTCCAAAGTAAAACTCCATCCGTCGTATCACTACCCGCTATTCGTCGCCTGTTGGTCTCTTTCTTCTCAGCTTTAAGCTTGCGATACCTCCAAAGTCGTATACCACCGTCCACAATTCCGATGACTGTGAACATTCCATTTTGAACCTACCCAGTTAGCGTACGCAGGATAATGATGGAAGAACACCTCACCAGTTTATAGTTCACGCGTGATGCTAAGACATCGGAAAATGAGAGAAATGATAGCCCAAATGTAGTGATCTCGAAGCAGATTCGAATATCCAGAGGAATCCAATACTTCCAGTTCTGGGATTTTTCCTTGCTACCTTCAAAGCGCATAATTAAACATGCCAGCGTCATAGACATTCGAAAGGCAGCTACAGCAGGCGTCGGCAAAATTAGTGACGATGACCTAAACTTGAAGTCCGCCAATAGTAACCCGATACCCGTAAGCGACAACGCTTGTAAAATTCTCGTTATCACGATTTGAGCATAGGTTCTTTCAAAGGCTATGAGACCAGCCCATGCGATGCCCTGGATTCAGTTCAGTCTCCCAGCCCATTTCCGGAGCTGATATACACTCACCTCTAATACCATACTCCAGAACAGCATCACTGATACTTCGTAATGGTTGCTGGAACTGTGTAAGTGAAGTGAATAAGCGTGGTTGTCTTCAGTAATATCCCATTCCGGCCCACGAGAGGGTCAATATGCATCTGTTGTGTTTTAGAGATAGTGAAGACTTCAGGGAAGGACTCGGCGCGGGCAAGCAATAGTTTTACTGGCTTGTCTTTAGGTCCAGGCTGTAACCATAATGCTGATGATGGGGTTGAACTGATATAAACGTCAAACATTTGCAGGGGAATCGTGTAATAGGAATTTTCTCTTTCCTCCTTGTGAACAATCGCTTTCTCCACGTCGCACTCGACCTCGTTCGTGCCCTTGTACCGTCGCACCTAATGGGAAAACACATTTGGTATTATCAGTCTCAGTCTTCACTTTTTTGTACAAAGAAACCGGCTAATCCCGCAAGGCGATCTAATAACTCCTCCATTTTTTTCACCCTCGCAGAATCCCTCTCATTTACTGGATTATATGTATTCATCAAGTATATTGCTGACGGCTTGGTTTCGGTAATAATTCCTTTAATGTTCTGGCAAGCATTGTACCACCCAGTTTTTTGAGAAATTTTAGTTGCGTCCAAAACGGCCTCGTAATCCAGCACGTCGCCTGGTTCGACCAAGCTCCGTGCAGCCCAGCTCAGACGTAGTTTTGAGCCCGAAATCCTTTGGAACTTGTCGAGAACCCTCTTACAGGGAGGACATGGGTGGAAGTCGCACTTTAGTGTTGCGTTATTGACGCAACTAACGTCTTCGTCGCATTTGCATGGCTCTGTAAAGTGAATATGGCAGCAACAAAGGCTGACGTGATGTTCTGTCATGTGCATTGTTTGGTAGCCTTGCCTGTTGGTAGGGCAGGAGGCAAAGCAGTGTAGGGGTCGCTGAAAACAAAAGTGGCAATAAAAAGCAGATTTTAAAGATTTATATGAATTAAAAATAAACAGAGACCTAGGTGATAAAATGCAGCAGCGACGGAAAGTGTTGGTTTATATATGTCAAACGATATTCCGCCCCAGTCGAGGAAGCGTCCTGACCCACTTGGACACTGTTGTGTATATAACTGGGACCTTCGTCCTCTTGACATGAGTAGTGATCAAGGCTAATTGACTCTCCATAATCTGTATCATCTTGACAATATAGACGTTGACATGGATTTAAGCTGACCGCAGGCCCTTCACGCCAGTGGTAGCTTTTAATTAGTCCAAGGATAACCTTGCAAGGTGTCTTACTTCTCTAGGCCGGTTTGATTGCAATACTTTTATTTCAGCCCGTACTACAAGCTATTTATTCAGTTGAACTCTGAATTGCTTGGTTCATGGTTTGGCGGTCTTCCGTTCACACGGACCCGAAAAGGGTATTCCTACTCTGCACAGGCAAGTTGTCTTCCATATGAACTTATGATTGGCAGAATCAGTAGTATTAAGGATTATGCGAAGCTAAGAGAACAGAACATGCCATCGGCATGGCTGGTCTAATTCGCCGCTCATATCGACGCTGCTAACTTACACCTCTCCCGTTCCCATACAGTATGACCAAACTTTTTGATCACTAGATCCTTTGCCTCCTCTATGGCCTCCTTCCCACGTAATTGGTCGCATGCCAAAAAGCTGGGCGCCCAAAGTACTTCAACTTCAATGGATCCGTTTGATGTTTGACGCGCATCCCCTAAACCCTTGTACTCGAACGGTTTGAGCGTCGGGGCCAAAGCGTGTTTCTTTCCACGAGATTGCGAGGCCGCGCTTCGAGTATTGTACCCCCGCCCCTGGACCCCATATTTCGAAATTCTGCGCTGGGGTTTACCGGCGGGTTTCATATTCGAGTAGCTAGCCTCATGGTTCGGTTCGGGTTGACCTGAAGGAGACTCAACAACTAGACTGGCAGTTAGCGAAGCGCGGTACTACGCATAAACAAATCTTACACTTATCTGGTGAACCATGGCGCTGGCACGATTTCACCTGCTCATTGACAGGGTTTTCGTAGTGAGAAAGGAGTGCATCAAGACGGCTGGTAGCCAACGGCGTGGGTAGAGGCGTTGTCTCAGGCTTCTTCTGTCCAGTCGCCTGTTGCAATGAAGCGGAAGTCGAAACATTCGATTCAATACTGACATTATCATGATTGTGTGTCGAAGGAGGTTTGTCAGGGTTGCTGCGGTTGTTCCATTCAACATTGTCGAAGTCATCACAGCTGTTCACGCTGGCGGGTGAGGATGCAATCGTTATCACCGTGGCGCAGCAGGAGCCAGGCGCCCGTGAGGTAGCGTAGGGCAAGTCTTCAGACATATACGGTGGCAATCCCGTCTTCTCATTCTGGAATAACAGGATGCTATGAAGTTCATGCTGTAGCCCAATGTGTTCTATTTGCTCAGCGAAAGCGGTTTTCTGATCATCGGTGAGGCAATCTAGAGACCAGATAAAGGCAATTGGCCAGGCCATAGAATGTCGTCGGAATCCTGGTAATGACTTCTCTTCCATCAAGTTTGCGGATGAAGACGACGCCTCTGAGGCCCGGCTCAGTTGGCGTTTGTTGGTGGTGAAATCGTCGAAAAGAATTTCCTTCAAAATAGCAAACGCGTCAAGAAATTCTTTAGTCGTTGTATAACTGGCGTGCCCATGGATGCATGCTGCGCATCTAATGATAATTGAGTTCAAGAGGATTCGTGCACATGTCAGCATGTTCCAAGGCATAGACAACCAAAGTCCTGTGTTATCAGAAGTAGCTCCCCATTCCGAACAGGGTCTTTTGCGCTTCATGTTGCGTTGGGTATTATCGAGCATCTTCTCCCACCAATTTTTACACACTTGATCATGGTCCAGGCACTGTTCAAGAATTTCCCTAGCAACATCATTCTCATTCTGGGGACCAATAAGAGATTTTGCCCTACGGCCAAGCGAACTGACCTCGATACAGAGCTTTTGAGTCGGACTATATTCATCCACAATATCGTCTTGGACCAGCCAGAGCTCATGGCCGTCCCATTCTTCTAGGTTTATGAGATGATACATGATCTATGAGAATTTAGTCACTAAATACTCAGTCTATCTCGTGGCGGGTATTTATAACCGAAATAAGGCAAAGGATTAAACATTCCGCGGAAGCTTACCATTTGTGTGCGAACCGCCATTAACAATGCACGTCCAGTTTTTGTTTCACGCAGCTGGCAGCCCCTATCTTCAGCTAACTTGCTAGCACCAATTATGTGATTGCGCCAGGCGCGCTGATCCCTAGTCGTAGGATTGATGCATTCAAATAAAGCCAGGAGTAAAACAGATGCCAATGTTGCGTCCTTGTGCATGATGGCTGGATCTTGAAGTGCAGCATTCGTTGCTACTACTGCTTTATCGTACTCCTCAGTGGTGAAAGTTCTGTGATCACGCCGGTCTGCAGTTTCTTGTATGAATACCGCCATGGTGCAAGCTTCAAACGCTAGCCTATAGTGTCTCGATTCCTTATTGATTTCCAGTAGAACAGAAAAACCTGTATAGCAGATATTGCTCAGGTTAGACGAGTCAAGAACGTAGTTAGACATAAAGTAGGCGTTTGCTCGTTCTTGAAGAGTCATCTGCGGAGCATCAGAGGTGCAAAGTAGCACATCTCCTCCTTCTGGTGATGGATCTGACGCAGCCGTCTCATCTCGTGATGAAACCACGGCCTGCAGTGTAGGATATCTGGGCGGGAGTGCTGATGTGGTTTTCGGGAGTTTGTTCTTTGTGTCTTTCATGTTAAAGGGTTCCAAATATCGGTGTCGAAAAGTAATATCTGCGTCGGTTTTAGGCCCGGAACAGTTTCTTCGACTTCGCGCACTGGTTGCAGGGCCACCACTCATCGCACTAGATTGAGTCCACGTTAGACCCTCAGTCATTGTAAAATTTGGTCAATCCTTCTCCGACTGTGAACAAAGGATACACCTTGATTCTGCACTCTCTGTAGGTCTCGCAACCCTGTGTTGTGATGCGGCCACGGTATGGGATTCCTGATGGACCCTGTTATGAGCTCTTGAGTAAAATCTGGGTCAAAGTAATAAAGATTATAGAGAGTCAATTCGCCTTGATCACTATTCAAGTCAAGTGGACGAAAGTCCCAGTTATATACACAACAGTGTCCAAGTGGGCCAGGACGCTTCCTCGACTTGGGCGGAATATCGTTTGACAAATTGTAGTAAGGTGGCTGCTCCGCCAATTTACTACCGGCACGCTTTGTGTTTGATGGACGGTTCTCGGCTTTGAGGCAGCTTCTGAAAACCGCATGGATATCCACAGGAACCGCACGCCAATCCTCTGATGTAGGTGGTTTGATCGCACCCGCTGTCACAGACGTAAACTAGTGCGTTGGCCATGGAGAGACTGCGGCTCACCGCATGATAGAATGGTTGATATGCGAGGCCGTCGCGGCTAGGTTACAGTGGGGTGAACCGTAGCAAAAGAAGCAAAGAAATGATGAGAATTGTGAGTCTGCTGAGTGCCCATGCAAGTTCTAACATACGTGTGCTCTACTTATATTGTGTTTAAGCAGGTGGATTGCAAGTATTGCGCTGTGTCCTTCCTAGCTACGCTGGCTCAGCTTGCACACACCGCTCTGTTCTGCATGACAATGGATGTATTGTATTAACGGTACACTATGCATTTTCTTTCCCAGTCACAAGCTCAATTTCGGAGCCACTCGGTATTGTGTCTGTTCTGGATATTTTCGATGGTGACATCGCATACCTTGCATCTCCAGGTATCACATGGCTACTCAGTCCCAACATCTCTTCGTTTCCCTTCTCGACCTTGATCTTGAGAAGCCTCCTAGCTCGTGTGACAACATCCAAGATCCCAATAATGACAAATAATCCATTTTGAATCTAATTCATTAGTATCTACATGGCATAATTAGAAGAGATGCTTACCAGTTTGTAATCAATGCGCGATAATCTGTCAGAAAGCGAGAGAAATGACAGTGCAAACCCGGCGACTTCGAAAGGAATGCGGATGTTGACAGGAACCCAGCTCTTTCCGGGCGGCTGCTTTAATCTCTTCTGTCGTATATACGCTAGAATACGCATAATGCAGTATCCATGTGCCATCGATCCGCGAAAGAAAACTACAGCCAACATCGTCAAATATGGAGTGAACGTCCCAATTCGCACGTCCACTGCGAAAAAGCCGATGTCCACTGATAGCAAGACCATACCGAGAACAGATAAGATTTGTAAGAATTTCTTAATAAACTTTCCTTGCGCTGTAGACAGTCCAAAGGCGTCCGCTAGCATGCGTGTAAATAGCACGCTCTATGTTGACCTTAGCCTTATTATCCATTTGTACAAATTTGTACTCACCTCTAGGAGCATGCTCCAGAGCAACATCACAGATAACTCAATATCCGCCCAGTATTCCGGCGTATGTTTTCCCAAACCAGTCCATGCCACCACCACCAAAAACACACCGACCACAAACCCTATCAAAATAAGAATCAACAACAAAGGCATGAACATCCTAGGTAGCTCGCCGCTTGTCGGTGAGTCATGTTGTATCAGTTTTGTAAGCAGTGCTGCTGCTGTAAGAATGAGAAATTGTGGCCCGAAACAAGTTGAAAGTCCAATTTGTTGACTCAGGGACAAAGCTGAATGCTCTTTCTGCTGCATGGTATCAGAGATGGAATGATGGCGCCAACAAGGCAACCAACTCACCGCCATTCCTGCAGGCGCAGCCTCGTTTTAAGTAATTTTAAGAGACACCAACAATTGATTGTTCCCTTCTGCTAAGGTCAGATATAAGGCCCTATATGTCGCATGTAACACGTGTTTCTCCGTGAAATACAACAGCGCATGGCAATGGTGCTGGACTCAAGACGTGTTTCTGATTCCGGGAAGAGTCCCACCGGTGTATGTGTGTTTCCCGCAGTGGAATATGAGGACAACAGGGCACCTTGTATTCGTAATGCGTCTGCCATGCACTACATTAGCAAAAGTTCATTGCAGGGGTGGAGGTTCTTGTTGAGCTGCTGTTCAATGCTGGAGCAGAACAAGGGGGGTGTCTTTTGAGCTAAGATGTCAAGATCTTAGCCCAAACGACACCCCCCTTCCAAGGCCGACTTCCCTGCGACCACAATACACTAATATCGCCTACTAGAAATCATTTCCAGCTTGCTCATCTGCATGACCGGCTGAAATTTTGCCGTTGGAAAGAGATGTAAGAGCCCGTTTACCATAGCAAGTAAGGATGTAGGCAGGGCCGGCCTCTGACAGCTTTGCCCCTTATCCTCTCCCTCCCATCATCTTTCATCCGATGTTCCACGATAGAGATGAGTTTGCCTGCAGTGCTTGCCAAGTATTTGCGCGAGGAGATAATTGGAGATGTTGAGTTCTCCAAGTCTATTGCAGAGGCACGCAGTGTTGGCAACCAGTGGATATTGCGTCGGTCTTATAGCAAACACCCTCACACCATCCAGGAGGAGTTTCGAATTGAAGTTCGCGACCAAGAGCATGTACGATGCACTCTGAAATTGAACGTAATAGGTCATGATGCTCCTCGGGAGGATACAAGGGAGAAAATCTTCAAACCGCGCGCGTGGTGCGGTCCTGAATTGTACGTGCCCATGTCGAACGCAACGGACCGTCAACTTAAATATGAACACAGGGATATCGAAGTGAGTGAGCAACAGACCAACTTGCCTCAACATCTGCCTACTTCAAACGCACGCGAGTTTGCCTCACAGGCGAATACTTCGGCTCCGCAAACCTCCATCGACGATACGGCAACGCCTGCCGCAACAGAATCCGAATTAGACAAGCAATCGGACGGCGTGGCCGATGAACAAGATGACCAGAAACAAGACAACAAGGTAGCGAGATATATTCTCCTAATGGCTCAATACTTCGTCAAAGGTAGCCTAGTGCTAGTTAAAAAGCCGACGAAATTACAACGCACAAAACTAGCAGGCATCCGACAATGTGTTAAGGAAACACAAGAGAGTGACGAGGCAGGCGACATAGTACGGCTCCCAGCTCTATGGCGACGATGGAAGAAGGAAGGGGTAAAAGAGGACAAGATATTTTCTACGACTTTTTCTCATACAGAAGAACTGAAGAGGTCTGTCGCTTCTATGCACAATGTGGGATATTATTTGGCGGGGATAACACAACATGACAAACTACGACCACCCGGACATCCCCCGCCAACTAAACGCAAAAACACAACTAGATATTACTGCGCGCGTGCCGTTGAGCGGATGCTCAAATTAGTATCCAGGGTATCTCAGTACTATGGTACCAGCGCCATGACCATACCCACATTCCTAGAAAGTGAGTTCTCGAATACCGCTTATTATGCCTTGCTAACAGTCACGAAAGTTGGGGGCTTTAGCATGACAAGCTTTGGGCATACTACTATCAGCAGCGATGAGAGTTTCTTTTACGATGGGCTTGTCTCCTTGATCGACTTATCATGGCGACGATTGGCTGCTGCTCAAACGGAGACGGACCAAAACATACAGACGGAGCAGGACGCTGAGATAGATCACGACGCAAGGGAGGCCCACAGCACGATGACAGAACAAGACGCTGTGCCCGTTTTAAACCCATTCGGATTCCACTCGTTCTATACGGATGCCGACTATAATGCCACATGCAAGACGCTTGATCAGTCGATCTTTTTAAAAGCCCCGCAAACAGTTTCTTACGAACTTCCTACAAGCAAGATATTGAGGAAGGGCCGGGAAAGATCGGACAGCACTTCTAATGGCAATCCTACGTCCGGCTTGTCCGACGAGTCAAGTGCATTCATTCTTCGCTATGCGCAGAGCCTGGCAAAGCACATAACACACGATGAAAAGGTGGAACGTACGAAGGGCTACAAAGATAATGAGGAAAACTTGGAGCTAGCCCTGCGAGTACTAGATGGAAATGCATTGCCCGAGGAGCTCGCCACAGCTTCGATAATTGTCGTCTACATAATAGTTGACATTTTGCTTGACAGATGTCCGAGACCGAAACGACCCGGACAAGAGCGACGACAGAAGAGAAAACGAGCGTCAGAGAAAGCTACATATGAGGACGCTGGCATGTCTCACGACTGCCTTCCCGATATTCGCCAGAACTGTACCGGCCAAGTGTCACTGAATATAGGCGGATACGGAAATCATACATTCATACCAGGCCATGGCACTAGTAAGTATTCACTACTACAATACTGCAGGTGTGGATTATGCTAACGAACTAAATATAGCGTTTGCCATGGGATCTGTGGATTCAACCGCCTTTGGCAACCCAGCCATAGGCCACTGCGGTCAACCCGCCACTACGCCCAACTTCATTGGCCAAGGCTTGGGGTGTGAGTCCGCGCATCTAGATGATTTCAGAAATGCAGCTGGGGACAACTTCGGGGATTTCTGCGAGTCAGGCGGTGATAGCTCACTCTTTAATGAGTCCGACGTTATTACTGGTCTACCATTCCCCGACCGGGAGAACTTTCGATGGGATGAGTCTAATGCCAACATTGGTCTGCCAACTATGTGCTGGGGAAATGTCCAATTTTAGGTCTTATTGGGCAGCAATCAATAAGTACAGAACACATTGTCCACGTAACAATTTGAATTCCTAGTCTGGTCTCTGCTATGTCTCCAACGACGTATACATCATCATATCTTACGTACAGGCAAGGGCATTGTATGATACGGTACCGGCAGATGGAACCTGGTGCCTCCCCGAATTATCCACGCATCTCCCTTGGTGGTATTGACGGTTATGCCACTCGCACGGTCGTCTCCTCTCGACAGCCAGAGTGGTACGGTGGCGTGAGTCATTGGACTGACAACGACTATATAGTTTGGACTAATGTACTGCCGAGACAGTATGGTTTCACCAATGCGAACAATCTTTGGATATCTATCATTGGTTGCAGGTTCAAGCCCCCATGGCTGGACCATTGGCTTTATATCAGGACGCTATTCGCTTTTAACACTGAACATGGCATCTGCTCATTTGCAATATACACATACTTTGTCCAAAAGAATTTGTGTAAATTCTTTAATATCTTTGGTGTCTTCGTAGGTCCACACATCTCCTCCTCGTTGAGGGTCCGTAGACTTGGTCTGTCGCAAAGAGGGAAGATTGTCGATAATTTTATCGCGCAACTCGTCCAATGAGCCAACGTCAAGACGCATGTAGTAATCGCCTTGTGCGGCCATTGTCACTGCCTTTGGCTTCCTTGACGATTTTTGCTTGAGGCTCGAAGTATTTATGCAAGACGGATGAGTGTCTCGGTCTAGTTCCAGTTTCGATTAACTGGGCAGTGGGCTTTGCAAGACGTCAAGTTGCGCCTAGGAGTGTGGCGCGACGCCCGAGAGATTCTTCCCCTCATCATGAGGCGATGTGTGCCCAACAAAGCGGGGTTGGCTTTTGCTGCCCAATGGGGATCCTAGCATGTGTGGAGTCAGCGTACACGGCCAGCTTATGCGAAGAGACCAGCCCGTGTCCCAGCAGTGTTTCAACAAGTAGTTTTCGTATCATTCCGCTCTTTATGTAGGAAATCAAGAGTCTCACATTTTGTCCAAGCTGTTCCAACAATCGTGCTGTGTGACGTGTGAACATTGGTTTTCAGCTAAAAGCGTGACTATTCCAGGGAATAGGACTCAGCAAGACTGCGTCACCCGACATATTATTTGGACAGCTGGACAGAATGAAAGACTCCTGGTTGTCTACGCAAAAGAGTGGAATCGTGCAAAAACTAAAGGTTTTGGAATACTGTTGCCTTGAATAAGCGACTAAATCTTGGTGAGACCAATCTGATGCTGGCGCAGTGGCCACTACCTTACTCATGACCCAGACCGAACCCTTCTCTCTCTTCATCAGTAAAAGGCGGAAGACCAGTCTCGGCAGATGATTCATTGAATGTACCAGTTCCATCTTCCTCCTCGTAGACTGTTCCCTCTGTTTCATTGTCGGCCTGGTGCCCAGGAGCGGCAGCTTTCAGAAATGCCAGAGACTCAGCGGAGCGGCACCGGAATAGCTTCATTCAGACTGCGAACGCCAGAGGAGCAAAAGCGGCGGCAGTGATTCTGTTGCAATATTCACAACTTAATATCACGTGTAACACCATGTGTAGACCCGCAATAGGGTGAGACACCATGGATAGCTATCCCTCCCTTTTCCTCCCTTGAATAGGAGATAGACTCGAATTGACTTTTATTGATACCCCTATTGCAGTACTGCATTATCCCTTTGATGATCCAACAGATTTAGGGAATTGTCGCCGAGCGACACGAAGAGGCCCCAGACCAGGAATCCGAGGATCACTCGGCGTACACTGCTTGGAAGATGCCGACCAGACGCTTCAGCAACAGATCGCTGACGATAGCCAGCATGTCTTGCAAGATGATACCCGGGCGGTGGTGCCGCACCCTGTTACTTATACACAGAGAATGATTCACCAAGTCAGAGTCAGGAATCGGCGGTCTTCGCCTGCGACGACCCGTCGATGAGCTTTGCGTCCAGTTTCACCGCTCTTACCACAGACCCTGTGCAGCCTAAGCGTTTGAGAGATTACGTTAGTCCACCGTCTGACTCCAAGAGAATCTACTCGTCTGAGGACCGAACAGAGCCAGGTACACCGCGCCGAACTACGCGGTCTAGTCAGCTACGATATTGACACAGATAAGTTAGGCGAGCCTCATTGGGTAGAGACATATAGGAACAGAGGGGATGTCTGCTTCAAGAACCCAACCAAAGTTATTTTCATATAGGCTATTCTTCCGAGCTGGACGAAAATCGGCAATGTGTTTGCCCGTATTGCTCTTGATTACTTTGACGTCGCTTTCCTAACAATGTTTCCTGAGACCGATATACCTCTTCTGACTGCCATGCACACCACTGGCGTTTGTAATACGCAACCCACAACCCTTTGGCCAGTCAAGGACGCAACAGTACCCTCCTTCTCAGCATCTTGCAGATATGATATCCCTTATAGGCGATTGTGAGACGGCCGGTTGGAAAAGGCGTCGCCACCGTTGAGAACCGAGGCGCGCGGCAACTCGGGGTACAGGCCTTCGAGGGTCTTGCATCCTGAGTACCACGAGCCTGCGTCAGTATGTGGTTGCCCCCTGACAACATGGATGATCAACGTCCTTCAAGTGATTGATATTCATCATTAAAGAAGTCAGAAAATCATGGAACACAACAAAATGGGAGGGATAGTCGAGCGCTGTAAATATTTGGCTATTCGAACAGAACCCTTTCGCGCGCTACCCATAGCCAGGAAAGGCCGCATATAGCCGCTAAGTACACTTGAATTTGAGACAATGTATTCCCATTCTTTGTATCCCAGCTCGTAAAACATTTAATATGCTACATCGCGTTGAATCTGCTCTGCTGGAGGGCACGCGACTCTCAGGACTGACCAAGGCGATGCTGCATCCCATGTCATGAGTGTCAAGCGCCTCACACAATCATTGCATGTCTGCGCTGGTCAAGAATTGCAGAGACGGCGGCTGGTTGTTTATCACATGCGACACACCTCGAAGATTATGTTTACATTGACGCGACATGAAATTCAACCTCTGCTCTCCTTTGTCATGAAAGCCCTACCCATTGTTCCTTGTCGTAAACGGGGCCCGCAGAGAGACTCTGCAGATTGTGTACTTGAAAGTATATGGAAGTGAACACTTGCTGGGATTACAATGCGTCTCGCGCTAGGCTGACTGACATTAGGCCTGTATATTTATGCAGCTACCAAAGAGACAACAAGGCGAACCGGTGTGCCACCAAGCTATCCCTCCGAATCTTCCTGTCACCATTTCTTCAGGTTCAGCTCGCTTAGGATTAAACACGCCACAGCTGCTCGTATCTTACCACATGCGCCGTGCAGACCTTTCTCCAAGCGGCTAAGGCGTGACGGGCTAGGACTACCAATTCGTTCTTGTGGTGTATCTATCGACCTAATGTCGCCTACAGAAGGCCTGGGCAACATGGCACCCTTCCGAACGCTTCCCTTGATCAAATCAAGGGAATCCGCCCAGGAGCTTAATCGAAACTCGAGATCATAAGACAATTTCCTGAATATGGGAGTGTCATCTTCGTTAAGCAATGAAAGGTCATTACAAGGAATGCGACATGTCTTGTGTGTCGACGCATCCACATCGCGACGTTAGCTGTGTTCCCTCGGTGCACCAACGTACTCTATGACAGGAAGATGTGGTGGTGCCATGCATTTAGTGGCCCCATTTCCTGCCACTTCGATAGTGACCTTTTACTTTCCTCACCTCTGTTAGCTGCGACTTTTCTGACGCCCCACCTCCCCTCGTGTGTGTCATAAAAGTAGGCCATCGGCGACCTCTATTTGACAGTCCCTTTGTGGAAAGGCTTTCTTCCAACCGCTTCGGCGGTCACCTGACAACCCTGTATCTGGGACATAGCTGCCGAGTCAAAAGTGGAACTGAACTGAACTGGTGGAAAGTCTCTTAGGAGAGTGTAAGGTATACTTCGGACGACGACAACATGCTTAAGGGACCTCATAAAAAACAAGTCCAAAAATCACTTCACATTAGTGGAAACATGTTGAGGAGGTGAATTGCCTCCGAATTACACTATAGACCTTTCGGCTGCTCGGGCAATCTCGTAGACAACGACGGCTTAAAGCTCATACTAATTCTCAGTGAATGTTGCAACTTCACAGTACAGCATTAAGCAAGTGAGACGCGTAAGTACTCTTTGTGATAAGACCTGTACCTTTATTCCTTGTCCAGAGAGACAGCTAGACTACCGACGTACCAGAGATCCCCCTCCCCTGCCCAATTCGGCAATTTCCAGTGAGGTTTCGTTGAAGTGGTGGTTGCTCCAGGAGTGGGCTCATTTACAGGCTCTAATGACGCGTGCACATGCACAAGGAGGGAGAAGCTAAGCGATAAAGGTTACCAACGGAGCAATTAGGGCTTGAGGTGAGCAAATTCAAGGGCCACCGTCGAGGTTGGCGGGATTAAGGAGCCACTTGGAAGGGACCCATGGCCAAGCGAGCCTAATAAAGTAGTAAAGCATTATCACACCACGTTCATGCATACGCTTGCTGCAGAGACATTCACATGGACGTCAACAAACGGCTTTTGATAAACCCTACGAACTTCCTCAGTGTTGATGTGGACAGTCACTATGTGGAGCCGCGCTTGTAAGTCTTCTTTGTTCATAGCCTGTTCTCAACAAAGTCGACAAGGTGTTAAACATATTCAATGCGACTCTACATGGTCACACCCGGACTAGCCACACCGATAACCAATCTAATACTACCTGCGAGGTATATACAAGGCGGCATGAAGAGTAACCAACCTGAATATCTGAGCCCAACCACCAGGTAGACTTGGGGGCTAACTCCTCTTGTGTGAGTTGCTTTTAACCACCACGAAAGGCTCTGGAATATTTAAGACTCTCTGAATCCCACTCATTTTGAGTGACCATCTCAACAGTACCTACCATTTTTTCGATATTGATCATTCCACTCTTGCCAAGCGTGTTCTACCCAAAAATTGTTCCCTGTCATGGCAGTCACAATCCAAGCTCCAATCATTCCTGGACTTCATACTCCTCCTACCATTGAGGATTTGAATTTGTCATCGGCAGTGTATGTTTGAGAACGTAGCATCTGCATCCCGCACTGACCTCTAGTGAAATAGGTATAATCTACTCCCAGATGATGCTGACCAACCTGTTGTGCAACACATTCATCTGCAAGAGCTAGCAAGCCTATTCAAGCGCTTCAATGTGCAGAAAAAATTCGGGATGCACCTTATTCACGGACATTTCCAACTTGATGAAGGCAGCGTCATGCTCGGCACTGCCCTCACGTCTCTCCGTGGGTACTGGACAAGGCCCACCAGCATCGCTAAGATAGAGCCTGCTGACATCCATGGACACATTTTCACTCTAACGGAAAGTGGAGAGATGCAGGCATACGAATATCGGGACGGGCCTGTTCCCAATCTGGAAGGAATTGATCCGACATTCTTCCTAGAGTTGATCAAGTATCTTCAGGCTAATAATTTGGCAAGCCTTCTTGGGCTTGAAATTCTCGGAGCAGAAGTCCCGGATATGATGTGCGAGTTTATACTTAAGGGCAATGGAACTGTCATATTGGATGCGAGGGAGCTTAAAAATTGGAGCTCCTATCGCTCTACGGGTTTCGCCCTGAAGAAACCAGGCATGACTGAACTCAAAGGCAACCAAACCCACGCCAAGACGGTCAGGGAGACTCATCAGGTTTTTACTGATGGAAAGATCGAGACGGAGGATCCTCTTTTGGATGTTCTTCGCGCTGAGGATGTAGTTCACTGAGTGTTTGCGCCTAGTACGCCACTGCGTTAGTGAGCTTACTTGTGTAGCGAGGACGACATGGTTAATGTGATTAAGATCCCAAAACTGTCATTATCGAAGCTTCTAGGAAGTAGTTAAGGCAACAGAAATTGAATATTCCTTTACGACGCACATGAATTCCACTAGCTTAGATCAAAACGCTTTGCCGAACCCGCCGTGTTGAACGGTGACTTATTATTCGAATTCTAACATGACAAGCATATGCTAATATGTCAAGCATACTCAAATGAATCGACACAATGCTGATTATTCCACGTAGGTCATGACTGGCTTCTTATTTAGCCGTGCGACATGCACATGATTAATCTGTGACTCTTAGATACCATTCGTGCAAAATGCGTCCAGATACACGAGAGACGATGAAGTCGTTGGATCTATCACGCCCTTCAAAATCTTGCCTTCCACAACAAAGCCATATCGACAGAACAGGCCCGTCATTCTTGCACGCCGAATGAGGTGCATGTCGACTTCTGATATATTGGAAACCTTTGCCCGGAAAGTCTGCCAAAAATGGCCTTCAAGTTCATGGCGGTTATCATAGTAATGCCATCCTGTGGAATCCATGTAGCCAAGAATATTCTCAAGACTCCACAAGGCAAAGCCAAACGGAAGAATTCTCGCTTCAGCCCAATCAACAATTCCCGTCATATGACCCGTTTTAGAGTTTATCAAGATATTCATCTCGCACAGATCCTCATGATTAAGGACAAAAGGTAGCATCCCTGAGAAGAGTGATGGCAGGCTTCGGCGAACCTCCCTTAGGCTCGAGGCAAATCGAGACGGCAAGGATTGAGCAAGAAGGTCAAACTTGGATTGAAACTCCATGAGCAGAGTCGCAGTATCGCGCGGATCTAATTGATGATTGCTATTCCATGACTGCGCGAAAAAGCTGCGTAGATTATTAGTTCCTGCTTGGAATTTGACCCTGATTCATGGTATACCTAGCTAGGTCTTCCACGGTGTTGTGTTGTCGAAACACAGCGTCGGGAGGCTGCACGGCGGCGATATTGCGCGATACGATGTAAGCCATTCCGGGAAGATGATCCATCTCGTAGATGTGAAGCGGCCGGGATTGGCCGATAATGCCATGATACTTGCAGCTGGCGACGAATTGTGGATGAATTGCCTTGGCCAGACTCATGACATGCATGTCAAAGCTGGAATCAAGTGTTCGAAACTGGAAGATTTTGGTAGTCCCCACGGCAACCGTGTAACTAAATGTTCCTTGTATCTGCACAGGCCTCAGTTGTCCTTCAGCATGAGCACGAGCGAAATCGTCGCACTGCTGCCTGGTTGCGCTGGTGTTTGATTCAAAGAAAAAGCCGATTGAGTCATCGAAGTAGTAGGAAGCCATCGTGGTAGAGAGTTATGAGGTCAGAAGATGCATGGTGCTGGTCTTAAAGGCGGAGTAGGGAGAGCCCCTCATATATGAATGATGAATGATGCTTATGCCCAGTTTTAACAAAAGCAAAAAGTCGTGGATGTTTGAAGGCAGGACAAGCCACTCCACTGCGGGGTTGACAGGTGGCGGAAGCTGCGGCCCTGCAAAACTCGATGCTCGAAGTTGAATAACTAGTGCTAAGGCTTGTGATCATACAATTGTATGTCAACAAGTTTACCATGCAAGGAGTTGTATCGGTGGGGAGAGTGACTTCCAAGTACTTGAACATCCTGATGAGGAACTGTAAGAAGAAAGGAGGTTAGACACCTGGGGGTTCTTGATTGTTGCCTACGACTAGCATATCACATCACACCTTGGGCTGGTTGATGAAAAGACGCGAAGTTGCTGGTGATGTCAGGCTCAGGGTGTTGCTATTTTTAAGCCTCGGAGTAATTGACTGAGGTTCAGCTTTGGGATTGGATGTGTGCGCAAAATGCACTGCGCAAGAACGCCACGGTACTTTTTGCTCTTATTAAAGTAAGTGAGTGTGTAAGCCATGTAGGGCTCTGGAGGCGTATTGTACCGAATATGGAGTGTTTCAATTAAGTTTATCTCGTCAATCATGGGGGTTAATGTTTGCTTGTCATTCTTGACGATGAGCTGTGTGCATGGCCCACAACCACCGACCTTCACCACCACCCCCCTGTTCGTTGCAGATGCTGTTGTTCACGTTGAAATTTTGCGTCTTGACATTTTACTTTGTATCTCCCACGTAACATGACATTTTGCTCCTTCCCGGCCAGGAGGACTACAGCGGTACTTGTTTCTGGACCGACAAAATGCAATGTCGCTGACGCGAGAGAAATGACTTTTGGTTGCGTCAAAATGTGGATATGTGCGGGGTGACTCTCAAGGCTCGTGATAACAACTGTAATCCTGTTACAACCTTCTGGCTGGGAAGAGTGTTGCGGTACGTACCGATGTCATGGCTCTGGCCCGAAAAATCACGCGCTCAAGACCAACCCCACTGTGCTCGATTTAACTCCCCAGTGTCGCCACCTCTATTCATGCAATTCAGATACTTACAACCTGTTTAATCTCGCCGCTTTGCAGCGCAGACGGCCTGATCGGTTTCTCAGACTGCATCTTTCGACTGCATTTTTCGATGGAAGCGATAACATTACAACACCGAGCCGACGCCCGCAGTTTCGAGGCTATGCATAGTGAAACAGACGTCCCTGGTCTTAACAAGGCTTTGACGAAAGAGGATCTAATGCGAAGTCGAAATATGTGCGTAAATATTCCAACTTCGTCGGCGGTGGCTAATTTTTGGATAGTTACAACAAACTCCCTGATGATTTGCAACAACCAGCGCTCCTCGATTCGCACATACGCGACCTTGCTGACTTGTTCGTTCGGAACCGCGCTCATGAAATCTTCGGCATACACTTAGTTCATGGCCACTTTACCATACCAACAAATACTGTCTTGCTTGGAACCAACTATAGTCAGCCACGCTGCCGCTGGGCTAAGACCACCCCAATCCCACTTGTGGACCTTGACTGTGTGCATGGGCATATATTCGTTCTCTCAGACCATGAGTTTCACCCATACGAGTATCAAATGGGTAGAATGCCCGATTTGTCTCAAGTTGGTAGCACTTTTCTCACAGAGCTCGCAAATTATCTGGAACTGAATAATTTGACGATGCTTGTCGGACTCCAAGTCATTGAACCCAATGCCTCGCCCATGTTTGAGCTGGTCCTGCCTATGGGGACGGTCATGGTGGATGTCACCAATGTAAATGGATGCGTCCCAACTAGGCATACTGGCTGGCAGTTTCAAGTAATTAATGGGGAATCGCGAGTATGTACCCCATATGAGACACACGCTCGACATGCCAATGGGCATGACATTTTCAACGCGGGTGCACCTCACCCAAAACTAGAAACATTTCAAGATGTCAAACATGCACTTCAGCAGCAAAATATTCTTTGCTGCTAAGTTCGTCAAATGGTTAGGTGGGGGAATGCAAACAGTTTGTATGGAGCTGAGCTCATGAGTCGTTGCTCAAGTTTGTAGATAGCCATTAGTGTCTTCGTTGGCAACCATCAATTTGCCCCGTTTTCCTAGCTCTTTACCCATTTCTTCGGAAACCCAGAGAGTGAGAAATGATCTCTTCTTTCCATCATAGGTGTTGTACCTTTGCTCAGGATTTGTTAACCATATTTCCCAGATATGCTGGTCGAGCGACATTGCATATCGTGCGTCTTCTTTTCGAACAATGAAAACTCCGCCCTTATATTTATTGCTCGTTGCTCGTTCTGTTGTTCCCTGATTTGCGGCGTCGTGTAGTTCACTGTTCGCTGGTGCATCTATGTTATCGATTGTGCGGCCACCGTTATAGCCACCTTGATGGTCTTCGTTCGGCGATGCAAAGGCGTTGTATTTCCTTTTACGTGTCAACAATCGTCTGGATGTATGTTCTAAAGTAATTAGCCTCAGTCGGTGCAATGAGCCAAATGTTGTACCTTTCATGAAAGCATCGTACGACTCTTGGTCATCAGGCTCCTCAACAACAGCATCGACAGCTTTGTCCACATCCGGCCGATATAATAGAGGGGAGAGCTGGCGATTTAACATGAATTCTGCTGCAAGGGTCCGGACTAGTTCAAACTTCTCATGCTCCATCTTGACAATATCTTCGGTTGTATAAGTCAATCCGCAAAGCTTTAGACTATCGCAATCTAACTGGCGTAGTTGCTGAGACCTATCTCCTCCACGGCTGTCCTTCCGAAAGACGAAGCGAATGAGATGCTTCACTTTTGTGGCTTGCTGTTTTGGGAGGGCCCTGTCTTTTGGTTGCCTTCGCAGCAGATTTGCAGTGACTTGTAATGATTTCTGAACTTCGAATTGAGCCTTTAATGATGTGATCTTCGCCAGGACCTTATCGAGTGCGTCATCTGAACTGTCGACATCCCAGAGATCCTGCCGTATCTTTTCTAACTCTTCCTCGAGTCTCTTCAGCGTGGCGTCAGCCATGGAATAGATGTGCTAATTGGCTCCTTCAGGACGTGGTACGTTAAATCTACATGGACAAGTGAAGGCACTGACGTTGCGACGTAGATATTAGGACACAGACGAGGTGAGGGGTAAAGAGAGCGAGGTAGAGGTGACAAGGTGTTTCAATGACCAAGGAAGTGAGCAAGATTGACGGCCACCATTGAGGTAAGGCGGGGATGAAGCCACATTCAGGACGGACTAGTACGGAAGTGGACTTAGCGGAGCCCCAGACCAAACAACGAAAATCAGCTGCGACTTGTAGAAAAAGAAACTATCTGAAACAGGGATTGGACGTCTACTAATTCTGTTGGCGGCGGCGCAGGAGACGGTTCATTCATGCAAGTATGCAACCACATCTGCTGTGATGTGGCTTGCAGAAGAGATGTTGGCTTGAGTATCGAACAGAAAACAGCATCGCATCAATTCGTTTAAGATAGATCGAGAGTAGTTTGATTCGATTCAGGGTGCGAAAGCATCGCTGTGTTTCCGTAGGAGAGAAGGACGGAATGTATTGTATCCAGTAAATGGCTTGAACGTCTATATAAAGCCCACCTCTGGTATAGCAGAATTTGCTCGTTTGTCATGTTGAACCGTGCCACTGAACAACAGAACCTCAAAAGACTTAAACTCTAAACCTATTTCAAAAACCCCTTTGTTTAAACACGTCACAAGATGTCTCGGCCCCTTCATAATCAGAAGCCAACCTCTCCTGCAACCCGCTCCGCCACGCCTGACTCCCAGGTCGAGGCGCATGACGAAGGTTTGTGGATGAAACGGATGAGAAAATCCAATTACAAGAAAGATCCTTCTGAAAAGTAAGATATGACCTGCTGTAACTTTGCTGGACGCCATGTCTCGACATACTGACTAAAGAGCAGAGACCCTTCGACTTCTCTTCGTCGAGGACGTGGTATTCATGATATTTCTTCGAACGAGCAGTCGGCTGTGGCTTCATCGGACATTGCTGAAACTGTTTCTCGAAAAACCCACACTACGGACGACTTAGAGAAGGCCAGAGCTAGATTGGTCTCTGAGGTCCAGAAACTTGGCCTTAGAAATGACGAGTCTCATGAAAATCCTGCTCATGCCAGCAACAAGCTAGAAGACGCTGACACTGAAGGTCTTGTACAAGTTTGGGACAGTAGCAAGGACGTACCCGCAGGCTCTGTCCTTGAGAAGTGGACCGAGGAAGACCGGATGAAGTGGGCTCAGGGCACGGGCATCGACATGAACGATTTGCTCGACAAACTTCCCATCCACAAGCGTTGCACCTCTTCAACTGTATTAGGTGATCGATCGGAGGACTATGGGGTCATGGACGTGAATGATTGCCATCCGCCATGGATCGAAACTATTTCTGGAGATGAAATGTCAGCAAAGAACATGGCTCTATGCGACAATGAATATCACGGTATATCAATTGGACGACTTTCCGGCATCTCTCTAACCCCACCACCCTGCAAAGATACATATGGCAAAACTTTGCAGCCAGTCCCATTCAGTGCTGTTGGTACGCCCACGGTGGCGGTATCTGACAATCCGCCTCTAGCTAAGCCTGATGCGACTTGGGGCACTGGCGTAGACTGCGATCTAAATGATGGCTCTCGCAAGATGACTGAGGAGGACATCGCCACACTAGGTCTGCTGGGTTGGTGGAAGGAGAGCAATGTAAACACTGGTCTTCCGCCAATAAACAAAGAGAATTTTCCCGGGCTGGAAAATGTGCGCACTCTCGATTGGCGGTGCCACCTCTGAGAATAATTCTGAAGAGAATGTGGCGGAGAATAAGTCTGAGATTGACAGAGCACCCACAAGGATCCCGGAAAACGCTTCGAACCTTGAAAATATGGAAATCGATTTACCTGATTTTTTCGTCACCACGAGCCGTCAAGCAAGTCCTGCACAAACCCCCCTAAGCGTGTCTTCAGACTTGAAACTTCAAAAGCGTCCCATGAACCCATACCAATGCTTCCGTACAGGCTTCGAGCGTGACTGGCTAGGATCGTGCTGATGGGCCTGGTTGGGTAAAGGTGGAAATAGAGACAGAGAGTCTTCCGAGCCAAATAGACAATGTGGAAGGAGCATCGCGTTGCCCGGGCTTGTCAGTATAAGGGCACTAATTGTTGGATCGTGACATCTGATTTCGTATGCCTTTGACTTGTTAGAAAGCTTCTAGCATCCACTCATTTAGTTTAATACATGCGCCAGTATTTCCTAGCAACGGCCTGCTGTAGACTTTTATCATGTGACGCGCCGTCGCAGCGCAAAGACAAAAAAAAAGCCTTTGAGGGTACAAGTCTGGGGTTAACCGTTCATAGGAGACCATAGATTGACGTCATGGTGACGTTTGCATCAGCAAGTCTGATAGCCCTTGCTAAAATATTAGCCCTAGGAACACCTTTGTGGAAAATCTTCGAGGAACATACATTGATGGCTTTTCAAGTGGCAACTGGGGAGATTTAATTTACAATGTCTGTTAACAGCCTAAATTCAACTTTGGTCCATATGATGGAGTCGGGCGAGTTCAGCGATCTCAAGTTTGTTTGTCAAGGAGAGGAATTCCAGGTCCACAAGGCCATTGTTTGTGGGAAGTCTCCTGTGATCAAGGCAGCAATTCAAAGAGGATTTAAGGTTAGTCCTGTTCGATAGACCTGGCTGCTTGCTAATCCCTACGTGATGTAGGAATCTCACACCAATGTCATTGTGCTGGATAGCTTCCAGTGTAGTACTGTGAAGCGGTTGGTCCAATTCATATACACTGGTGATTATGATGATCCCGAAACGCCTCAGGCCGACGGGAATGCTTGCTCTGGCAACACCGACAAGGCTGATGAAGGTGGGATATTTGACCCTAGTACCTGGGCATAGTATTAAGGTCACTGATACGGAAGTAGGCGTCTTGCCGAACGACCAGCTGCAACATAGTGCTAGCGACGAAGGCAGTCCCATTCCCTTTTCGAAAGGGGAATTTAAGCCGTCGCTGCCGCCGCCATCGACCCCCAGTGCTTCCCTCCTTGAACATATTCGTGTTAACTCGACCGGCGATTATTACAGAATAGATGAGCTCGTTACTCTGGCCAACGCGAAGATCACGCATCTCCTTCGGAGTAACAAAAAGGATCAATCCTGGGTTCCAAGCCTTCCTCTTGCAATCGAAGCAGCGGTTAGATCAACGGGAGATGGTGAACTGTTGGACATCCTAGCTTCGGCGACTGCAGCGAACATTTCAACAGTTACTGAATTGGATCAATTTGAGAGCATACGCGTCATGACGGGCTTCTCGATGAAGGTTCTGCGGAGCTGTGCCCAAGAGATCCAAACATTAGAGAAAGCAGTCGAAGAATCTAGAAGGACGATCGAGCTTCAACAGGCGAAAGAACAGCAGAGCAAATGCGAGATTTCCAGACTGTGCCGGGCCTTGAGGGTCTTGAAAAGGACAAGATGTTGCCGGAATTCAAGTTGTGACGCTGAGTTTCAATGCTTCATAGATCCAAATGAGGGTATTCTCCGTTGCGACAAGTGCCGCTGCACGCATTTCGATAGAACATAATATTCGCCACATGCATGCCCCAGGCTACGAGCGCGACAGCAAGGCCAGTCCTCGGACTTTCGTGGAGTTTCACGACGGACTATGGCCGGCCCAACTGGGCCTACACAAGAAGCATGCGATGAGATTACGAAGCTTCAAAGTGAGCTTCGAAGTGCAAGGAATGCGCTGCCCTGGAAAGGCAAAAAGCGGCAGGAGCTCCAAAGTGGCAAATCGGCAATACGTAGGTGATAACCGAACGGCTAGTGGGTACACCGTGTCGTGTGAGCCGTTAGACGCGGGAAATGGTGCTGACAAGATCAGAAATTGCTCTTGGGAATAACGGGTCCTTGGCAGAATTATAATCGTAACGGCGCTGATTTCGGCGCACAGGCGACGGGTAGTTGGTACAAAGTTTTCGTTCGTTCTATCGCGCTTCTTCATTGACTGCATCTCCATAAAAATTAGTGGCACAGCCAGAGTTATTCTGTTGTAGTGCTTGTTAACTTGAAAGAAAATTCGAATGTATTTAGTTGCATGGTGTCTATAATACATAGGCCAAGGTATTTAGACCTCTGACAGATCGAAGTCTGTCAGAATTACCCTCCGGTTTTGGATCGAATGCATGTTGTAAACATGGGCCCATATCATGAGAATATTATTCTTCTGCCAAAACGTCCTGATCCCGTTGGGCATCCTGGAGGATCTTCTTCATTGTAGAATAAAGCTCGGGTTCACGTTTTTTCCATCTGCCGCCGTTGGGAAACACGTGCCTTCGCATTCTATTAACCCAAGGAATCAAGGGCTGGTAGTGAGATGTGAAGTTCTTCTCTGCGTTCTTGAGAAAGTCCTCCTCATCAGCAATCTCGCCCTTTTTTGAGACAACTAGTTTGTCGTCATTGTCAGTGTTCCAGTCATCCAATCTAGTAGGCCCAATACTTTTGCCTTGAGCGTCGTAGTGAATGCATATCCAAAATAACACCCAGAAGAAAGACTCAAGGTCGTGCATGAAGGAATGTTCCTCGCCTAGCAGAGCGCCAATGGCCATAAATGCTCTTGTGCCGGTTTTCCCTTTTGCTCCCGAAGCGCTCTCTCGCCGCCTCTTAATAGCAAGGTCAAGGTCAATCAAGAATGCCGCCCATGATGATGATTTCTCATCTTCGTTAATCATAAGATTATTGATAGAAATATCCCTATGGAGAAAGCCAGCTTTGTGCAATGATTCGTGTCCCTCGATGCAGCTCTCGAATGCAGACAGAAGAGCCACTCGAGAACTTGCTTGGTAGATCGGCTCTCCATAATCAAGGAGGACGATTCGCCGATGAACACGATTTGATACAGGATCAATACTAGCTTTTGTTGGAGATTCCGAACGAGATCGCTTAGCTGCTGGCAGCCCAGCATCAGTTTCACTGGAGGGCCGCTTCAGGCCACTGCTGTTGCTCTTGCCTTCATGTGAAACGCTAGACACGCTGACACTTGGAGGGAGTCCTCGGCGACCCATTCGAAAATTCGCAATTTTTGCTTTTGAAAGGTCTAACCCTTTCCGAACATGGCTTCGAATGTCGTCACTGACACCTCGGATGCAAACAGTTTCGTGATGGTAGTATCGGGCGACATTAACAACGCCCTTATTTGTTGCCTCTCGGAGATATTCGCCCTCTTCCTCTCGATTTGTGTACTGCCATGAATCTTTGATAACGAGTGGCACCTGCGGGTCCTCTCTGCGGTGGGCCTTCCAACAGGTCGTTGCCCGGCCAGCGATGCAGGGAGCACGCTTCATAACCTTATCGATGTATATGCGCTCTGTCTGACCATCTCGGTTGATTGTTATATATCGCTCGCCGTGAGATGTGATGATGGTAGGATCAAAGCCAAGATTCTCCTCATCCATGCACAAAAATCCAAGGACAGCGGTCACAAATTGCAGCGCGCCGTCCTCGCTGTTGATGTCGAATTTATCTGAAGCGATCCCCCCTAGGCGGTCAAATTGCCATACTCTCATAATCGATCCACAAAGTGTAAAACCCAAGACGAACCGAAGGGCATCTTGCGCCTTGAGGACCTCTCTGGCGTAGGTTGCAAGATCAATCCACGCTAGTGAGGTTATATCGGCGGCCGGGTTACTTTTCAACTCGCCGGGCACGAGAACTTGTTGCCACCGAAATCTGTCGTCTTTTGAATTCGGCTTATATGCCAAGTCACGGGCTACAAAGCCAATGTCCATACTGCGTTTGCCCGTTGAGCCCAGTAGCGGCGTTTTCGGTTGGGCTAACAGCTTGCGGCGATGCATCACATTCAGATTGAAATCACCTGCGAGAGCTTCCAGTCTTGGTATCAGGTCGCAAAACCAAGCAAGCACATCGGGCTCTTTAGCGCGTGTGGGCCACCCGATCCAACCCTCTCTGAAGAGAGGATTGTCACCTTCCATGCACTTACCTAGAACCGTCTCGGACGCTGTATTTAGTCCTCTCACACTTCCAAAGAAGGCATCGCAGAACCCTGGAACATCAACGTAGAGGGGTCCGAGTTCTTGTTTTAAGACTCTGTCCACTTCTTGACGGCGTTCTGACGAGTTCACGAAGCTGCTCGTGTTTTGACTCCAAGGAGTCTGTTGCAGAGATGATGGTATAGACCGTGGAGGAGGCGTGGATCCGGCGACGATGCGACAAACTTGATCCCAAATAAGCGCTTCATTTACGCTGTTGGCGAGACAAATTTTTATGAGCGGTTTGATTAGATCTAAGTCATAATCGTCGGATGTAATCAAAGTGTTGAGGCTCGATATTTCACTGAAGACCGAGTTGCCATTATTGGAGCGAAGGAGTCGAGCAGCCGGATGGATTTGTAACGCCGACAGAAGAATGAGAATGCAATTTTGAAGCTCTACAAAGCAGCGGTCAGATATGGCTTCTACAAGCGCAGGCAACTTACCTTCTTGACCAAGCCGTTCTATTTCGTTTGGGGTGAACGAGTCGCGAAAAGCCTTCAGGCCGTCCCCAATAGGATGCTTCTCGACGACATGCAAGAGGCTTTGACCCTTCATGGATGCTGCGCCTGGCATTTGCCGCCTTGAATTGGCGTGGTGAAAAGGAGCGGTCGCGTCGCGCTGCACAAAGGGAGGAAGTTTGGTAGCACCACCGGCATCGGAAAAACATGCCCCGAGATGGTTTGGGGGTAGTTGATCAGGGCATGCCGAGTGGGGTGAAGCAAGGCACCATGCCGCTCCCAACTCAACGACCGGTCGTGTTGTGATCATGACTAGACTGCTCTCTCCTGCCCATTGAGTTGGATCGCCGTTGAGAGCCACGTAATTGACCACGTTTTTCTGGTTGGTCGGCACGGTCGATTCTAGCTGAGCGATCCCGCCAGCCACTGTATGTAGACCAATTATTGAAGTGGAGGACATCCAACGACATTCCGCCGAAAGAGTGTGTATTTTACCATGATTGATAACAATGCTAATATTAATTCGCAGCATCCACTGTAAAGTATTTGGAAAGATGGTGTACGCTTGGCAACTTGAAAATGCGTCGTTCATAAAGACTCTAAAATCACACGAGTTGAATTGAATTGAATTTAGTATCGCCTATCGGCGCCCTAGAGTAGGCATGAGGCGTGCTAGCTAGTCTTCAACAGTGATTACATAACTCACTCCACTTGCTAGTAAGCCCCGCAGAACGCGACCGACGGAGTCGTCGCGTCCATGCCCTCACGGTTAGCCCCCTGAGCAGTTCATGTAAATTCCTCCAACTATAGCAGATGTTCGCCCAGCGGCTGTTTAACTGCCACCATAGATACCCGTCAGCGGGGTCACGATTCCTGCTGAGGTTTTCCATCCGCGGACGTATTCCCTCGCAGTCAATTGCGCCTAGTCTTTTCGCGGGGACCAGGGAGAACCCTAATGTCGGTGGCATATGCCTCAATAAAGGGAAAGCGGGTTGTTGAACGAGTAGCGCTAACTACTCGGGCTGGATACTAGTACAGAGCGCGCCAGGCTTGTACAACTTACTCGGTTTAGTAGCGCTTGTTGATCTTCGTGTAATAGAAGTCCGCAATGCGCAGGTAAACCCTGTAGGATCTACCGAGGAACCTTCCTATCGCTGCTTCAGGGTCGGGTGTCAGCCGAGCCCGGAGATGCGAGGGACTTTCCTGCAGTAGAAGAGATGGGTAGGCGACTTTTAGCGCCCGCAGGGGCACTCTAGAGTCGCCTGGCCCGGGTGGGATTTTTCGTGGTATCCGCAAAGTCACCATGGTGTGATCGGGCAGCGAGTAGATATCCCAAAAGACGGCGTGGGAGGGCGAGTTCAGGGAGCTTTCGTAGCTCGGCGGCCAGGCCGAGCGATGAGTAACCTGCTCTCTCTACTCCTTGCCACCATCGCTGGTAGTCTACGGCTATCTGACCCTTGACCTGTCTCCTGCGGTAGGAGACTGAGGAGGTGTTCTGGAACTGCAAGATTGGCTCCTTGCTTGGCGAGAAGGTCTGCCAGCTCGTTTCCGAAGATGTTGCTATGTCCTGGGCACCATTTAACAGATACCTGGTATGGATATTTGTCTCCTATCTTCTGAAAGGCTCTGAACTGGGCCTGCGAGGAGTTTGATGCTGTCGCTCCTATGCAGTCGATGACAGAAGTGTTGCCCATAGATACTGTAATTGGTTCGTTGGCGAGATTGGCGAGTACAGCGCATCGGAGACCTTCTACAGCGCCGTGAATCTCTGCGTCAAAGACTTCTCTGCGGCCAAGTTGCCCAGAGCCCCAATCGACGAGGTGTCCATTGTGAAATACTGCAAATCCATACCCTGCGGTATCCATTTCTGTCTTGGAGCCATCGCTGAAGACGACATATCCTAGGGGTTTATTCTTAAGCCAGTATTAGAATTGCAGCAGGGCGGTCTCTTTTGGCGGTCTTATATCCGCATACTCAGTCGGAATGGTGTCTTTGAAGCGGCGTGGGATGAGCTTTGGTCGCTTAACCTTCTTTGTGCATGCCGCTGTGCGGAGGAGTCGACATTGCCTCCGTAAGGTTCGGTTGTGTGCTGTCGGGAAGTTGCTCTGGTCAACTTCATGTTGCGCTTGTCTTAGCCTTCTAGCAATTGGGTGAGCTGCATCTAGCATAGCGTAGCGCAGGCGGTGCGCGCTTGCATTTGCTTGAGGAAGATATCTGCTGGCAGACTCTAAAATCACACCTCGTGCCATTCCCAGACCTGTAGGGTAGTGGTATCATAGCGCCACGCCTTTTAATACAGTACATGAACTGCGAGCTTGCCGGCGTAGAACCTTGCACAGTGATCCGGTTAGGTTGAATATGATCCGTTGACATCAAATATAGATGTACGAAAACATATCTATGGTGCTTTTTAATATTTACATGGATTTCCTAATAAAAAACCAAATACTTCTTATCTCTTGCTTCGACTTTGTGGCTTGGCGTCTTTTTCTCGCCACCAAGATGCTTCCCAATTCAGGGCAGGCGTAGCCCCTGGTTGCACTTTGGCCTCTTTGGGGGGCATCGGCCGATTGAAAGCTGCTTGGCAGTGGACTGACACTGAGCCTCTAGCAGCTGGAGGTAATCAGGGTCCGCGCATATGGGCCAAGTAGACGATTGCTCGTAGCGTGAATCAGCCCATGAGAGACCAGGCTTTGACTGATATCCTCCGATATGACCATCCGGCGGTCTAAAGACAACCGCGACGTCGAAAAAATATCCCATCTCGTTTACCAAGTCAAGTGCAGTAAATCAGGCTTGTCACGGCTCGTCAGCTTTGTATAGTACCTCACTTGAAGCGACTCCTTTGATCGCGTGTGGAATTGGTTGCGATGTCGCACCTGAATTTGCGTCCACATAAGTTGCTCCTCTTCCTTTAACATTCTGATAAAATCGTCTTCATCTGAAGTAAATTTTGCCTTGGTCGCCGAAGACCGAAGCTGGCTGGCTCTGTGTTTTTGAGCTTGGAAGCAATCCAAGACTCCATGCTCGTGGGCGACATTCTAGCTGTGATAACTGACGGTGCTGACTAGATATATTCGCGGCTTCGATTTGGATGCTTGATCTTTCATCATTTCATATCTAGGGATGTTTGTATGTACATAGGAAAAGGAAAAATTATGGAGATCAGTCTTGCGGAGCCCTCGTCTCCGTACGCACCCTCTCATCGTAGCATTAGAACATAATGTTGGACGAACAGCACTATAGCAACTACCGGAGCGAAGAGGAAGCTGCAAAAACCAGCAGCCATGGCCATTGCTTCCCGCAAAGTCTGACCACTGGCAATCGGAGTACTCTCACTCTGTCATGTGCGTTATAGATACGGGCAAGTCGCTCCTAGTTTACGGGTATAAGCTCTTCCCAACGATTGCGTATTATTTTTAGTCTCTACGTCCATCGCTTTGGGGCTCACTGTCTTCGCTAGATGTTTCCACAGTCTCCTGGCAAGTACGTGCATTGTGGCCGACCTCGCCACATGTGCCACAGTGCCGTCCATTCCTGTCATTGCGTTTCCTACGACTGCTTTGCCGTACACATCCCTTAACCTGCCCGCTTCCCGTTTTTGAATTATTAAGCTTGGAAGCAATCCAGGTCTCTGACTTATTTTCCCTCCTCCATGCTTGTAGACGGCGTTCTTCCAGCTGGGATAATAGACGGTGTTGACCAGATAGATTCGTGACTTTAACTTGGATAGTCGACCTTTCGCCATCTTTGCTGCCAGGGGTATTTATATTTAAGGCATCTCCGCAACTAATCGTACTAGCCCTAGATCGGTTTTCAAGACCGTAACGTGAGTTGGAAACGTCATACTCGGGCTCACACCTCTTACTCGGCACATCCTTGGCCGAAAAGTGCTGTAATAACGATAGTGCTTCTAAGAGGGCTGCGCGTAAAGTCGAGCATGATTTGCATTGGCTAACTTGCCTCATATACTGCATCCCGGGTAAATAGTTCGTCTGCTGCGGTGCAGCTAATGGCGAACAACTTGCCTCTGCATTCCGAAATTGACGCGCTGTGGCTTCCTCGCGGCGGCGAGAGCTGCACTGTACCGAGGGGCACGTTGGCACAAAAGCACAAGCGTTCGAGTCAATGCTTCCAGGAGGGCTGAGCAGGGTCACATTCTGAGCTGTGGCAGGATCTAAGCCTCTCTTTGAATGGCACATAACGGCACATTCTCCAGAGCCATTGTCGTTCCAATTGCTGTTATCCTCATGGGAATAATCACTGCCTTCATCAGCGGAAGCCAACTTTGGCCGCTTCGTCTGCCGTTCATCAGTTGTTTCAATACTGTCATGGTCATAGGCTAGCTGCTGTTTAACATTCGTGTTATTCGGCTGTTGATCCGCCTGCAGCCAACGATGACAGCTCACATCCTTATCACGTAGATTCTCCGGTGAATGGGTCTCAGGCCTGGCTCCAGCACGAGTTTCGCCTGGAGATGGCAGGAATAGCGGACATGTGGCGTGATTGCTGTTGTTTGTTGATGGCCTTGGTGAGTCCACGGTGATGCACTCTTCGACTCCGAAACATGATTGCACTTCGGCCGATTGCCAACACGCAGTCTGCGCTGACTGCAATACAAGACTGCTGGAAGTATGGGGATGCTCGTAAACCACTTGATTGGCCTCGTTATAAGCAGAGCAGGTATCCCCGAGTTGCAGAGCTGCACAAGAGTCGCTGGATAAATCGACAAGTGTAGGATTTATAAACATCGTATCATTTACTTCTATAACATGTTAATGTCTTCAATTCGAATAGTTACTCCGATAGCATCATCACCCGTCATACCAGGATCCTCTGACCCCTCAGTTACTGCCTCGTTTTGCTCGAGAGTTTCCTGAGGCACCAACCCCTTCGAATATGTCTTAGGGATAGAGACCTTCTTCGATTTTGGTAACCGTTGAAGGCTTGGATCGTAGGACTTAAACTTAAGCGGTTTGTGCATGATGCAGTTGAGGAAAAATGTCAGTGAAAATTTTAGTCGAACGAGATTCAGGGTCAGAATATTGGAGAGGGAGGAGGTGCTTCTGATATAGACGACTGGTAATGTCGGGCTCCAACCAGGATCACATCTTCATGCCGTGCTCTTGCTACAAGAGAAAGCGGACCATTCCGACCTGAATTATACCAGTCATTCCCCATGCAGTCGGCTCCTTCCTGTAATATTTTTTTTTTTTTGGCTGTTCGACCCCTTCCATGATGCACCGTGACAACAAATCAAGGCAGGTGATATGAGCGCTTTCGGGCTACAAACTCCCGTGGAGCCAATCGCAACTCGTACACTGCTAAGATGAACACAGGAATCATGTCACGATGCATACTGCGGCTGGTTGATCAACATCGTCAGCCAATCCCTTGAGACGCCAATGTGACAAAACGGTCCGACTCAGCTGTTTAGGGGTGGCAGCTTCGTCACCGCACCTTCTGCTGCAGCTAGTGGGAAAACTAGTGAGCCTTATTTTTCTTGCCAAATGCAAACAATAGGGAAAACGAGGCAAACGGGTGCCGCGTAACCTGCCAGCTGACGATCCATGACAAAGCATGTTCTGTCTGTGTGTCGCATTCACTCACTATGATGGTGATGTAGTTTGACCTCACAGTGTACCTCAGGCATAGTGAATATTATTAGCGGATGACATTGTTTAGTCTGTAATGCTGTTGTAGACAGACTTGGGAGCGAGCTGCGGAGCCATTCGTTGCGAATTATGTGTCCCAAACCTAACAGTTTTGACACGTCCTCTTCAAATCTGCGGAGAACTATTCTTGCATAGGGGCAGAGCGAGGGTGAGGGCATTCGGCCTTCTACTGCTTGATCGAGTAGATGGAGTAAACTAGTCATCAAGTCCATAAAGTGTTGGACAACGTGCTACATGCATCTCCGGAGGCCTGTTGGTCGACCAGGTTCGTAGCAACCCAACCGTTCTTGTGACTGGGCGGACGAAGATGAAACGCTGAGGCGTCGACATTTACATCATGTCGTAGCTGCATTCTGTTGATCTTCACCTTCGGCCAGTTCCCGAAATGAAGCCGCCCCCATCCGTAGCAGAATGATCGAGACCGCCATCGACCCAATTTCCTGTCCGACTCTGCAGCCAATCTTTTGATGTCGATGCTTTTCTTAGATTGGTGTCGTAATGATTACCCTCGCTAAACTCCTGGCAGAAGTCCCAGCGAGGTGATGAGTGCAGATACGAGCTGCCGGCTGAAATGCGTCATCCTTTCTTCCCACGATTGGAGGGCTTGTGATGGTTATTTGCAAAAGTTCTTGCCTTCTTCAGTAATTCTGAAGGGGCATGACGTGTTCCCAGTTGTGTCGAGACTTCTGCACTGACGAGAGTCTTCAGATATTTTTTCCCTTTCGGGTAATTTTGGACGAGGCCTGCGAGGTTGGTCACCTAGTGAACATCGAACCGACCATTTCCAATCCAATTCCAACGAAGATCCCAGTCACTAGCGGTCGGCAGAATTCCTCAGCTGCGCCCCGGGCATCCCGTACTTGTGAAAGGAGGTACGGAAATCATGAAAGTATCAGAGTATCCAGCGCTTCGGCTGCGTTATGCGGTGGTAATGTTCCTCCTCGTTTGTCATGTTGATCGTGGTGTCGCGGGCAACGTAAAGGTTGATGAGTAAGCCGGCACTAAAGAAGAAGAGAATGGTTAAAAGAACAACTTGAAGGGACTCGACGGTACTTGTGGGCGGAGCTGGCGGGACGGCCGCTTTATAGGCGACGCAAAAGCGGCGAGCGAAGGAGGGGCTGAGAATTCCCCGATAAGGGAACCACCGCCTGTGGTGGGCCAAGACCACCATTTCCCGAGGCGGACAAGCCGTCGTTTTTAATACTTTAATAAAATTTATTAAAATATAATTATAATACTAAAAGTAACTTATAAAAGGTATTTTATTTAAATTATAATAAGCTTTTAAAAATATATATAATTATTAAAAAGCTAAAAGCTAAAATAATAAAAATTTTTAAAAAATACTTAAAATATAATAAGCTATTTAATAAAAAGCTAAAAAAGCTAAAAATAAAATTATTAAAATATTTATATTAGAATTATAAAATTAAATTTTAGCCTAATATTAAACTAATATTTAATAAGATTTATTTCTAAAATCTTAAGTAAAATAAAATACTTAAAAAGTATTTAAAAAATATATTAAGAAAAAAATATATATAATTATTAAAGTTTTTAATAAAATACTTAATTTTATAAGTATTAAAAAAAAATAAAAAACTATAATTATATATTAATTAT